TTTATTAAATAAGGACTTGTGTCGCTAAAGCTTCGTCGGAACGAAGTTACGGAAAGTTAATTAACGAACGGAGACGTAACACAGTATTAAGTCAAAATTCTTATATCTATTCCTAAAAGACAATCGTTTATTAAAAGTAATCGCAGCTGACAGAAGGTAATTTCAGAAAATATTTGTTATTCATACAACGTATTGGAAGCTGGTGCAACCAGTTTCAAGTAAACAACGGATTTGGAAATACAAATTATTTTAAAACTACCTACTGCATGCCATGATTAAGTTCTTTATGTCCAGTAAGAAAACTGAAATTATCTTAATTGTTTTCAAAAGAAAAAGAATAAAAAAGTTTCGAAAAATTGGAATTTTCAATCACTATTTCCAAACCTTAGGAGGTCTGCATGCCTCCAGTAGGTGACGATCCACTCCTATAGATCAAGTAAGGATCTAACTATGGTTAGTTTCCTAACTTAGTCTACCTTCTACACTGTTTTTATTGTTTTTAAAGTTAAACACAAAGCTACACAATGAGTTATCTGTGCTCTGCCCACCACGGATATCGAAACCCGGATTCTAGAACTGTAAGTATGCAGATATTTGTTTGTAGTTATGCACAAAGCAACACAATGAGCTGTCTGTGCTCTGCCCACCATGGGTATCGAAACCCGGTTTCTAGCGTTGTAAGTCCGTAGATATACCGATGTGCAACTGGGGGCTTCTATTGTGTTAATATAAAATTCTTTTTGGAGTTCGTAAACCAATTAATATTTTTTCATTAAAGTCCCAAGGTCTTATTCTTGCTATTTTTCTCAGAAATGAACATAATCGGAGATTTCACACTTAGTTTTTCATTAAAATACGCACTTTTGCGTGTTTCCAAAAAAAAATTATGAAAATATTTTTTTCGCGTTATTCAGCTAGAAAGATGCACTTGATGTGCGTAGCTTAAAACCAAACATTTTCATTAAAACTCGCAAGATTTAAACGTTATTTCGTAATAAGTATTCCAGTTAGCTTCGATTTTTCTTTATTTCAGAAGAGAAAAATAATAGAAAAGCTTTAAATAATAGGAATTCTCAACCAAAAATATTAAATGTAGAATAGTTAGGGCTTCTTTTCAAATTTAGTTCAATTCTAAGTTTATTTTTTTATTGTCGATATGAAAAAAAGTGATTTCTACGATATAACATTTGACTAAAAAAAATCATAAATAATATTCAACGTTAAACTGGTACACAATTAAAAACATTTTAATTAGGCCTATCTATGGCCTTCAAAAAGTCGACGACTCTACATGTTTGGACGTAATTCACTCCAGAGGATGACGTTGTAACTAGTTTAACGATGAATATTATTTATGATTTTAACTTTATACACAAGTGCCAAAATACAACAATTCTGTTTTATGTGTTGTAAGAATGGGTGGTTCGGTTAATTTTTTATGAGAAATTTTAAGCATTAGTGTTTCACATGATCTTTTTATAATCATTTGCTGCATGTGTCTTAGAATATTAATATCTAAACCAGTATGGTGGTATTTTAAGTCTTTAGCTTTAACATTAAAGATATTGTGCATGGTTTGCTTTATACAAGGTATGTAGGCACTGTAACATTGATTTATTAAAGATTGTCATTAAAAACAAATATTACTAAAATTAAAGCATAATATACAGTATAGGCCAGGTGTAGCATAGTGGATAGTATGCTGGACTATGGACCTGTGGGTCCATGATGTGCATCCCATTGCCACAAAAATCTGTTCTTCACTTTTGGACCATGAGTGTTATGAGAGTAATAGCAAAATCCCGTTATTCAATTAGCCCAAGAGTTGGCAGTGGGTGTTGCTATCTGCCTTCCTTTCTGATTTACGAATTCAAAATTAGGGAAGGCTAGTGCAGAAAGCCATTGTGTAGCTTCGTGTGAATTTCCAAAACAACCTAACAGTCTTAGAGTACGAAAAATCTATCAGTAATAACCCACTTACCAAACTGCAGTCTCAGTCATATAGCTCAGCAAGTCTAAGTTTCCACCTCTCGTGTTCTAGTAGCAGTCTCTTGTTTCACTTTGTACAATTTTTAACATAATGCTGCATATTTGTTTTGTTTTTTTAACCTGTTTTTAACCATTTTAGGTTTGTACTTGACAGGTACATTTTCAGTAAAAACACAATCAAATTTCGAGTTTTTTTTAATTATTTTGTTCGTTTTTTAAGATAAAAATAAAGTTGTTGAAATACCTCTTTCAACTTTGAAGCTACCTTTATTTAATTTTAATACACATTTAACTGAACTCTTTGATTTTTATGGTTTTATTTTTACAGTCCCTCATTCTAGCACTTATTGCCTGTTGAAGGAAAAATGTAGTGTTTTAATGAAATATTTACTTGAAATATAGGAGCTGAATGAACATTGATAATTAATGTTTTTAATATTTGTATTTTTATAAGTTAATTATTTGTTAAATTCTTGCTGTAAAGTAACTATAGATTTATTAATTAATTAGTAATATTAGGTGGTCAAGAAATTAATGTAACTTTCTTTTTAGATGAAAAAACCCGACCAACTTGAATGATATAGTATCTATTCTTATTGACAATGCTTTTCCATCTTACAATCACGTTGTTAATGCCCTGATTAAAGAAATTACTTGGTTTTGAAGCAAAAAACATGTTGATGTTTTGGAAACGATGATCATCTGAGAGTTTGTGAGGCACCCAAACACCTTCTTTACGGAGTTTTCCCATGTTCCTTAGAGGTTTA